TGTGTGTGTGTGTGTGTGTGTGTGTGTGTGTGTGTGTGTGTGTGTGTGTGTGCGTGCGTGCGTGCGTGCGTGCGTGCGCGTGTGCGTGTGCGTGTGCGTGTGCGTGTGCGTGTGCGTGTGCGTGTGTGTGTGTGTGTGTGTGTGTGTGTGTGGATGGGTGAATGGATGTGAATAGGTGACTGGGTGTGGGTAGGTAATTGGATGTGTGTATGGGTGGGTGAGTGGGTGATTGGGTGCGTGCGTGCGTGCGTGCGTGCGTGCGTGCGTGCGTGCGTGCGTGCGTGCGTGCGTGCGTGCGTGCGTGCGTGCGTGCGTGCCGTGCGTGCCGTGCGTGCGTGCGTGCGTGCGTGCGTGCGTGCGTGCGTGCGTGCGTGCGTGCGTGCGTGCGTGCGTGTGTGGATGTGTGGATGTGAATGTGTGTGTATGTATGGGTGGATGGGTAAACGTATTAAATTAATAATTGTATAATTTTAAATTTCGAAGGTTCAAAGTTTAAAGTATCGAAGTTTTGAAGTTTTGAAGCTTCGACTTTCGAAGACTTCAATGCCGATCTTTCGAAACCTTCGAAGTTCGAATGTCGAAGCCTTCAAAGGAAATCACCAGCCCTAATATTTTCCAAAATAGAAAAAATAAATATTGCCTAGAGATGCCGGGACTGAAGTCGTAGCGGAACTATAAAATTTGGCAATGATATACAAACTGGTACAAAGGGATGTAATAAAATTTAATTTCGAAACATGCTCGAGATTTCCAAAATTCCGTAAGGAGAGAGAATTAACTCCTCAGCAAAAAAGTGATTTATCTGTTTTTAACTATTAAGCCCTAGCTAGAATTCAAGATCTTAAGGTCACCCACAAAAGGAGAAATCGACGACTAATGGAAACTCAGAAAAACAGTGCTTTTGTCGTGCGGAAGTAGGCATCCGCAAACTCTGGGATCGCGCTAAAACGAACCCCCAATAGATGACCAATCGAACCAAAAACTGTAATGGTAAGGGTAACGTCTTACCGAAAACTGTAGTACCTAATAGTTGTAAAGCTTAATATAATGTAAGACGGGCGGAGTAAATTACCTCAAACTAGATTAAGTGAAAGTTAACAAATTAGAGATAGCTTCATCCATATCACCTTGCCAATCAGACCTTAACTCTTTTAACTTGAGACATCCCCCATCCCTTGAGATTTCCTATATAAACCGTGAACTCTCTTGGACCGCGAATCTTAAACTCTACACGAAACGCGGAGTACTGAAATTGAGTAAAGTGATCCGGGCCACCGTCCGGTACAACCAAGAGACCATCACACTAGCCAAGAGTAGCGTGGAATCAAGAGAAACAACATCATACCAGCAGAAAAGTATGTCTTTTTCCACCTTCTCTCCTCGTGAATAACTTCATCGAGATTCTCTGTGGTTTCGAAACCCTTGTTCCGCGACTTGTTTCTAATTGTCCTCGCCATTTCCAATTAGTGAGCGCTAAACCTGTCTCCTTTCCCCAATCCCTGGTTGCGCCGCGCCGCAAGAAGAACCCGCCGTCGCCAAAATCGAGAAGCGCAAAGACTCCTCGATCAAGCTTACCAAGAGTGATTAAATTCTTTGGGGCACCCCACGGAGAGCCAAGAGAACACAGATTTTGCGGGCCCATTACCGGCCATATATAACATACGCGGCTTGTACTGTCCACGTGATCATGTACCGAAGAGGTCCTTTCGTGCCCGGGAAACATGCGCAGAAGAAGTGCGCGGAAAGTTACCGCACCAAGATAGTGGCGAACACGCACGAACGTGTCGATCCTTTATTTCCTGACAAAAAAGAGTATAACGGTTGGTTATGTTGGTTGCTGTAACCGACGAGTGTCACACGAACACGACGCGACAACTTACGAAACCGATAACGCGTTTAGATCCGTTGTTTCGTGATAAAGAAGGATATGACGATTGGCTATTGCAACCGGCGATGCGTAAACACGTTTCAATCCTTTGTCTCCAGACAAAGGAGGATATGACTGATGCAATCAGCGAGCAACGTACAGACATAACGCGACTTTACGAAATTGACTTGGCTTGAATTCGGTGGAATCCTGCTCGTGATCTCACTTCTGAATGAAATGAGCTGTAAGACAGGGAATAAATATTTCCCATACAGCACAGAACATTGACAGAACGTTGCTGAGACGTTGCAATGTTGAATGTGTAGTGGGAATTTTTTGAACGTTGAATCTATGTTGAATTTTCATATTATTAATGTTGCTGCAACGTTGAATCTATATGTTGAATTTTCTATATTGATTGTTAATGTTGCTGCAATGTTGAATTTATGTTGAATTTTCTAGATTAATTATTTATGTTGCTGCAACATTGAAATTATATAGATCGGAAGAGCACACG